TCTGGCTGGTTTTTAGGTCAGTTAGTGACAAACCACCACTCACTAAATGGGAACCTTAAAACCTAGCAACACGAAACAGCTATTTGGAGAAGGACAAACTTCTCACACAGCTGAATTACGCTGACGTGAAAACCACAGTAAACTGCACATTGCAACCAAACAACAATTCGTGTGCAAAACACTAATTTCTTTTCCACAAGCCTCTGGTTCACACACTAAACCAACTAAGAATACAAAAACAGAATACACTTAACAAATATCCAAACAACCCCAACTTACTATGGAAGGAAAAGAGCGAAACAAGCAAACCTGTTGTGATCAGGACCCACTTGGGTGTACTTATATTCTCCTTGGATCTTTTCTTTTTGGAAATACTGGTTCAGGCGAGCCTTAGCATTTTCCAAGGTCCAGTTTCCATGAAGCCCAGCATTTAAATCCACTTCTTCTGATTCTAGAGTCTAATGAATCAATGATAATTAATTTTGCTGCACTAATTTATATATTCAAGGTCCAGGAATTTTTCACAATACTGTCTTTGTATACCATATTTCACAGTGCAAAATCTGTTCTGAATGATTTCTAGTGCTGGCCAGAACTGATCAAAAATTAAGTTTTTACACCATCTGAGGTATACAATCGTATATACTACTATAAACAATATCTATTGTGCTGAATTTAAATTGTTCCTAAGAACCCCGACACATTATTATTTTTAATAAATCATTTTACTGGGGGCTCTTACAGCTCTAACAATCCACACGTCAATTGTATTAAGCACATTTGAACCTATGTTGCCATCATTTCCAAAACATTTTCTTTCTACTTGAGCCCTTGGTATCAGCCCCCCCCCCCCATCCTCATGAACCCTGATAATTTACAAATCATTCTTTTCATATTTTACACCATCCGCTGTATCCCTTCACATGTCACGTTTTTTGTTGTTTGTACCCCTGGGTGTTGGTTTACGCGTTGATCATTGTGATAGCCGCCCGCCCCCCTCAATGGTCCTGCTACTCTCATTATTGGTCCAGGGTTTTATCTGTCCTGGATTCTGTGTGTTGAGACCTCTTATCTGTACCAGTGCACATGTTCTGGTCTAACCAGATTTGTAAGATAGAACTGGGGTCATGACAGTGGGGAGGAGGAAGCATTAAAGAACTAGAGGAATATTGTGTGTTTCATGACAGATACTTTAAATGAAGTGGAAAAAGTATTTTATTACTATGAGGAGAAATACAGTTTTCTCATAGGCCAACTCGATCACATAGATTTAATGAGCAGTTTGTGGGATAAAAAAACCCAGTGGTGCACTGGGTTAAGAAAGTTTTGGGGAAAAAAAGAAAAGAAAGTTTTGGACTGCTGACCTAAAAGCTCGCTGGTTCAAATTCATCAGCCATTTCTCTAAGTGGGAAAAAGATGTGCCATATGTTCCAGTAAAGATTTAGTCTTGGAAACCTTAGGAACAGTTCCACTTTGCGCTAAAGGGTCACTAATGCAACTCAGTGGCAGTAGCTTTTCTGGTGTGAACATAGACTTCCTCCCATCAAGCCAATTCTGACTCTGAGTAACCTTACAGGACAGAACAGACTGCCCCTTTATGTTTTCCGAGAAACTTTCATCTTTATGAAGGTAGACAGCCTCATTTTTCTCCCTAAGAGCAGCTGGCACATTCTAATCGCTGAACTTGTGGTTAGCAGG